CTATGGAAATCATAGTCATATAATAAGAACAGTAATCATGACTGTAAGTAGATTAATTTTAAGGAAAACATTCAAAAGGAACAAAAAAGAATACTAGTGAGGGGGAAAACTTTCGGGAAAAAACTATAAAAATGGAACTAAATAAAATAGCAATAATGATTAAAGTTATGTTCGTAGGTTGCACACAGACTAGCAGCTCTTACTATTTAAAATGCAATTATGAAAAGATAATGAGTAATTTCCATCTCTTTTTTTGTCTTTCATCCAAGGTTCTCTAAATGCTTTATTAATTAGTCCTTGAACAGATCCCATGAGGGGGGTAGTCATTTTATTGGCTATATATTGAATTTAGAGATTTTAGGCTATTTACCCAGAAACCAAAAAGTAGAGGAAAATAAAGAAGACAGGAATGAAGAATGGAGACTATTACATCACTCATTCTGTTATGGAAACAAAATGTCTACAATTTATAAAATCACAGAATTAAAGAATTGGAAGGGATTTCAGTAACCTATTAAGTATAGCTAATGTGGTATAGACAAAGTTATATCAATAATCTTTAATACTTAAGATTTCATTTGTGTGGTCATTTTCCTGACCAGAATAGGATCCTGCTATAGCCTTCAAGAGTTGCTGTAGCTGAACAAAATCATTACCTTGAAGGCAGCCTTGTGATGACCCCTTCTATACCTAGCTAAGCTTGCCCTTGAATAGAAAGCACACAGGCCTTCAACTGCTCAGCTGCCTCAAATAGTTGGCTGCTCAGTTTCATTACAGTAGGGAAGTTACATCTATAATTACAGTAAATATCTTTCAAACTAAATTTCAAATGTGATCACTGAAAATTCAATCATTTTATTATTGCCACATGATTTTCTAAAAAGGAGTTAGATGGAGAAAGGCTATTAATTTTTTTGTTGACCTCATTTAAATCTGAGCTACAACAACACAACTTTAGTCCATTCAATTGGCACACAGGAAGCTTATGTAGGAGGAGCTGTGGATTTGCAGACCACCTGTCTTGGATGACTTTTCTATGGAACTGTGCCCTATCTTCTTAATTGGGTTTCATTGTACATTTGGTTTTTCTCCAGGGGACTACATAGCCTTCCTCAAAAAATCCTTGGCTCAAGTGCTGCTGACCAAATGCCATATTATTCCATTCAGAAAGGAGGGAGAGCAAAGGGGGAAAGTAGCTGGGATAGAATACATTCTGCTTCTACCCTTGGCAGCATCTGAACAGCTAACAGAGCTTTCTGCCTTAACCACAAGCCCACGGCTTCAATAGCTGGAAAGCAAAGCCACTTGATCATTATTACATTGACACGATACCTGCATAACTGGATGAAAAGTCCAAAAGTCATAAACAACCTTGTTTTGTTTACATGACATGAGAGAATCTGTTCGAATATTTTTTCACCCATTTGTCTAAACTAGCTGGATAGTAGTAGGTATATAGAAGTTATGGTGGAAATTTTAGACTTCTCTATTATTAACAATTTGTATGTAGCCAACAGAGCTAGAGGACAGAGTTTGTGGAAAGAAAACTAGATTTTTATTTATTTCTATTTCCTGCGTTACTTAATGCTTCTATGAACCTAGGCAATTTGCTAAGTTTGAGGCCTCAGTTTCCTCATCTGTAACATGAATAAGTTGGACTAGTTCTTAATGTTTTGGGTGTGTCATGAACCCTTTTGGCAGTAGGGTGAAGCCAAAATACTTCTTCTCTGAATAATGTTACATGAATAAAATAAATAAATAGTATTACAAAGGAAACAAAATATACTAAAAGCAGTTTTTTTTAATTAAAACTCCATTTTTTTCTTTTGTAAACACCTGGATTTATTAAAACCTAAGCCCTAGGTTAAGGACCCCTGAACTAGATGATTTCTAAAATTCTTCCAGCCCTATGTTTTATGATCCTATGATATGTGTGTCCCAAACTGAGGACTTCCAAGAGGAATAACTAGCCAGAAGTTATCATGATGATGATAATGAAAAATTACTTCAAAGATAAGAAATTATATTACCCTCTTAGAGATGATATCATTTAATAGAAAGCGTCCTCTTTTATGTGGCAGGTAGGTGGCACAGTGTAAAGTGCTGGGCCTGAAGTCAGGGCGACCCAAATTCAAGTCCTGCCTCAGACTCTTACTTGTTGTGTGACCCTGGGCAAATCATATAATCCTGTTTACTTCACTTTCTTCATCTAGAGAAAGAAATGGCAAATCATTCAAATGGAGTTACAAAAAGTGGGACAGGACTGAAAACAACTTAACTACAACATCCTCCTTTATGGATGAGGAAACTGAGGCTTAGAGACATTAAGTGATTTGCTTGTGTTTGTTGTACTAATAAGCATCAAAGTCTGAATTTTAAACCAGGTTTCCCAACTCTGAATACCCTACATTATCCAATACACCATGTTGCCTTCCTATCAGATCACATTATGCAGCCATGTTTCCCAAATCTTAACTAATTTTTAGTTGGATGAAATAAGTTTGGAGGAAAAAATAAAAGAGTAGCAGGATAGGTTTGAAGGGGGTGGAAAGAACGAAGTTACCTACCACATGGGAAGAGACATTTAATATCTTGGTCATAGGATAATAGCAGTGGGTGTTTTGAGGTGCTTATAAATACAGATTTAGTAGCCTCAAAATGCACTAACACTTTTGGGATAGCTTGTACATGAACTTTGAGTTCCTTTTTAATTCATTTAAATTCCACAAACACTTATTAAGTCACTGCTATTTGCAAAGCACTGCGCAAGGCACTTAGAGACACAAAACCAAAATAATTGGTACCTTCAGAAATCTTACATTTTTACTGGAAACATTTAACATGTTTACAAGTAAGCAATATAACATAATTTGAAGGACAGAATGCTAATAACTCACAGATCAGGAATAGCCAGATACAGAAGGCACCTGAGCTGGACTTTAAAGGATGCTGGTTATTCCATGAGGTAGCAGTGAAGAAATTGCACATTGTAATAGAAAGGATCAGTTGGGCAAAAGTATGCAACCTGGAGATGCAATGTTTATAAAGAATGACTAGGCCAGTCTTACTAAACTGGAGAGGAATGTGAAAGAAGACTGGAATGGTAGGTGGGGAAAATATTTTTTTATAGCTAGAAATAGTAAACTGAGGCATTCGTATGTTTCCAAGAGACAAAACTGAAGAGTTATTAAAGATTTTTGAATGGGTGGTAGAGTACAATGGTCATATTTGTGTTTTAGGAATATCAATTTTGTAGCAATATGGAGAATGGATCAGAAAGCGGAGAAACTGGAGACGGGGGACTAATTTGAAGGACTTTGTAATTTTCCAGATGAAAAGTGTTGTGGGCCTGAACTAGGCTAATGACTACATGGGTAGAAAGGAGATTGATGTGAGGTATTTTGGAGATAGAATTGATTAGACTCAGCAACTACCTGGATATAGGAGTTGACAGACAGGGAAAAGTCAACACTGTTGATTAGAAGAATTTTGATGTTGTCAACAGAAATAGGGAAGTTATGGGGAAGGATAGATTTAGTTCTCAGGGCCAGATGCTTCTTTGATTGACTATCCAATAGTATAGGAGCACTTAAGACCTCGTGTCTGAGATGATTGCTCCTGTGTCTGAAGGGATCTAAACTTGAACTAATCATTTGTCAGTCTGTGTTCTTTAATTGAAACTATTCAGATGAATATTGCTTGGGTCAGCCAAGTATAAAACAAAAGCTAGTGGCATGTTGAAATTCATATATTTAGGGCCATCCTTCAGACCCTGAAATATAAAATCAAGCCAATCCATCTCCCTTTTCAAGTGAAATTTAGTTACTTCTCTCTTCTCTAGTATATATGTATTTTCCTGAGTATGTATTTTTTTTAAAGACATTCACATTAAGGGACATTTCCAGATTAACCTGTAGCGTTGTGAACTTACCAAGCAAATACTCTGATTCTAATAGGGTTAGGAGGAGGGGAGTGGAAAGAAGGAAAACTTTGGTCTGGTTACTGGGAAGGGAAGAAATAGAGAAGGAATCCACATGGTACATGAGTCATAGCTGAACCATGTGTCCAGATAATAATGATGACAACTAAAGCCTACCCAAGTGACCCTCTAGAATGATCCAAAGAAGTCTATCATGCTACACAATCTCTATCCTTTGGAACGTGAGTACAAAGTGCCTGTGCCATGTAGCTATATTGAAGAGTTAGAAGGATGGAAGGGAAAATGGATGGAAGCTTTCTTGGAGGTATAGGAACTTTGCCACTCTTTATGAAAGGTCTTGATACTATTTAATTCACTTCCTTGATAATATTTATGTTGCTTCATGACCTGATTAAATACTTTTGGCCATGGATTTAATTGTCTCAGGCATTCTTAGGAAGAAAATGACACACTGATTCAGGGCTCAACCATGATCTCAATATATCCCCCCAACCATCCCCACCAAAGAGAGGTACTCTGAACCTGAAAATCGATATAAAGAAAAAGTGACACACATATGATAAAATTCTCAGAGGATTTTACATATGTACACAAATCTCTTTAATCAAAGTAGATTAAAGATATAAATTTTAATAAAATGTGAAATATTTTAGAAATGAAAAAACCAAATGTAGCTCTTAAAGAAACACAACAAAGGCTATAGTTCAGTTTATAATTTATAATGTAGTTTATATTTGTTATTTATGTAATATAATTATAGTTATAATATATTATCATTCTAGGGACAAGAATCACCCAAATCAATTTTGTTCATTTAATTATTATACATTACAGATATTTTTTAAACAGTCATCAAGCAAGATTATTACTGTATCATGGCAATTTTCATTTCTGATCATTTTTTAAAATGACAGGTTTTGGGTAATTTCTTGATATTCTTTTAGATCTTTTTTAAAAGAGCTCTTATACAATGGATAAATTTCTTAGAGACACAAGGAGAGTAGTAAACATCTTCAGAAAGGTTGAAGCATTCAATTTCTTTCTTTCTTTTTCCTTTTAGAAAGACTTCACTGAAAAACCACAGTGGTCATAAAAGCATCCAGACAGCTACAATCTTACTTGGGACCATGCTACAGTACTGTGAAAAAAAAATATTTCATTAAAAGCTCTACAAAAGATACTTGCTAACAATAAGAAAGAACATATTTTCACAGAATTGGAGAATTCTGCAGAGTATAAAACACCTTTGCTAAGCTAGGACAATATTTTCCCTTTTTATTCAGATGTGAAGCTTCCTTCTGCCAAAAAGAAAATCAGTATGTATTACACTCAAGTGGAGGCTTAATCTTTCCAGCCCTTGGTAAGCACTGAAGGACTCCAGGCATGCATCACACAGACCTAGAATTTTCGTCATTTTGGCCTCAGAACAAGGCTGATTTGATTTTACAGGCAAAGAACAGACAGCAACATCAAATCCTCCATAAGGCATTCATTAACATTAAAAAAAAAATTGCAGTGTTGCCTGCTAAAGATATGAAATACAGACATATGTAAAACAACAGATTTTAGCATTAGAAAGAAAATTTCAGTTCTTGAAAGGACTTAGCAGAGATTTTTAATCTCCTTTGGTGACATGGATCCTTTTTGGATTATACTGTTTTCCAAATTGATAAAATAGGTAAGATTTCAAAAGGAAACCAATTATATTGAAATAGATATAAAAATGTTTAAAAACATGTTTACACACCTGTGTTAAGAACTTCCATATAAGTGATTTTATCCAACAAAATCTATTTGCATGTTCGACTAAATTTTGATTCTCTAGTCTTACAATATTTTCCTATCCTGTTTCAGGTATAACATCACTTGATGATGTTAAGACTTTTGCCCAGACTGAAGGGAGCTCATTTTACACCTAAACCAAATTACACTCCAGTTATAATCCAGGCTTCCAGTCTGCCAGGGCTTCCGGTGAAGTGGGAGGGTGGCAGGGTTCACTTACGGAACACCTTATTTTACCGCTGCTATAGAGCAAAGGAAACCTCTCTGAGAAAGGGAACCATTTACAGAACCAAATGACAGCATGTTATTAACATTAAAAAGTCCAGAGGAAACACTGACAACTTTAACACAACCCATGCACTTCATTACAAAGAAAAAGGGCACCCAAAAGAAAAGATCCCTGTACTTTAAGTCAATAATGAGACATGACCCTGACAGAACTCACAAGTCAGACAGATAAAAGTTTAAATTGAAAATATTCATCTGGCTGTTAAACTGATGCCTTTTTCTGTAAATGCTTTATACTAAGCTCATTATTAAAGAACAGTTTGCAACAAAGTCTAGCAGAAAGAACATTAGGACTTCCTGGAAGGCAACAGGCCTGGGTTCTGTCCCAGTGGACTTGTGGAGGGGCCCACAGATCACTTGACCTCTTGGTCTCAGCCTTCGTATCATCTGTGAAATGAGAATAATACTTGCCATCTGCAACACAAAGGACCTGTAAAAGCCTAAATCAAAGTCCTTAGGAAGTACTTTGAATTCTTCAGAAGGTTTTATAGGTTTTATAAATTACAAAGCCTTATGTCAAAGAATGCCATTCATAAATTCCTGTTACAACAATAGGAATTTCACATGTAGGATAATATTTGGGCCCTAGCATTGAACGTTCATTTTCACTTAAATAATAGAATTTTCCCTCTACCTAGATGCCATAAATAGGTAGCCTTGACAAAGACTGACATCTCCTATTCAGATCACTACATAGTACTTCTGATGTTCTTTCTTACCTTAATCAGCTGAATATTATTATTAATTTCTTACCTTATTCAGCTGAAATTCAGATGAAGTTTCCTTCATCTAAAAGTGAAAAGTACCTCTCTCTTAGGAATTGCTAGAAAGGAGTCTTCTTGAAAGAAAGGACTGCATTCTCATGAAGGATTTATGAATCAGTGTGTTTTGACCTCTTGTTCAGGCCTAGGTCAAATCTAAGTCAACTAAATACAGCTGTCAAAATCCAACAGTTCTAACCTAATACATTGTTGGTGGAGCTGTGAAATGATCCAGCCATTTTGGAGAACAATTTGAAACTATGCCCAAAGGGCTACAAAAATGTGCATACTCTTTGATCCAGCAATAGCACTTCTAGGGCTATATCCCAAAGAGATCAAACAAATGGGAAAAGGACCCACATGTACAAAAATACTCATAGCAGCTCTTTTTGTGGTGGCAAAGAATTGGAAATTGGGGAATGGCTGAGCAAGTTGTGGTATATGAATGTAATGGAATACTATTGTGCTATAAGAAATGATGAACAGGCTGACTTCAGAAAAACCTGGAAAGACTTATATGAACTGATGCTGAGTGAAGTGAGCAGAACCAAGAGGACTTTGTACACAATAACAGCCATGTTATGCAATGACTAAGATTGTTAAACTGAACCCTTCTCAGCATTATGAGTATCTAAGACATCTCCGGAGGCCTCAGGATGGAAAATGCTGTCCACATCCAAAGAAAGAACTATGGAAGTCGAATCGCTATCACTTCATTTTACCTTCTGTTGAGTTTTGTTTCATCTTGCTGATGGTTCCTCCTATTGGTTTTAATTTTTACTTACAACTTCACTAATGTGAAAATATGTTTAATGGGTATGTAAATGTAAAGCCTATATCAGATTGTGTGCCGTCTTGGGGAGGGTGCTGGGGAGGAAGGGGAAGAAAAATTTTCAACTCAAAAGCATATGGAAGTGATTGTTGATGAATCAAAATAAATTAATAAAATTTTTTTAAAAATCCAACAGTTCTGGAATTAGTCAGTCACACACAGTCGTTCCTCCATCTATTGTCATTTGTTAAATACTGTTTGTGTGCAAGGGCTCTGTGGATGGTAGTCCTCAGTTGCTAGAAGAAATAGGCACATGTGGCCTGGCCAACAATGTTGATCATCTTCCAGGAGTCAGACTTTCTTTTAAGTACCTTCCCTGGAGGTTTGAATCATATTCATGATAACCTCTGCTTTCCTCAGTGTTGCCACCCCTATTACCCAGCTCTTTGGTACTATCAAACTTTATGCAGTTATTTCTTGTATTTCTGGTGGATGTTTTGATGCCAGCTTGCTCAGCTGGCATTCTCCTTTTAGCTGTCTGACATTCATTTATCCTTCCATATTCCACCTGACTAGTTGTCATCTCCACCTGGATGTCCAGCCCACGCTTACAACTTAACATGTCTAAAGTTGAACTTGTCATTTCCCCACAAATAGGTGGCTCTTTTCAGTTTTCCTGTGACTGTCCGTCATAATATGCCTACATCTGTGCCCATGCTCCCATTCCTGAAGTTACTTTTGATTTCTAATTCATCTTCAAAATCCACCAATCCCTACCAATTCCTACCAAATCTTATTTTTAAATGTCTCTAGGATTCCTTCTCCATCTTCACAGCTTCCACCTTCCAGATTCTTACCTGGCCTTGACAAGGTACTAAAGGAAGCATAATAACACGTAGAATGTGAGAGCAAGAAGAGACTTCAGAGAGAATACCGTCCAATTTCCTAATTTTATAAATGAGTAAACAGAACCCCACAGAAGTGAAGTCACTTACCCAAGGTCACTTAATCAGGGAAAAAAGTCAGGACCAGAATCCAGTTCTATTGATACTTGACCCAATGTTCTTTCCTCTATTTCATTTACTTTGTGACTATAACCTCTCTGGTCTAGATTGTCCAGTAAATCACTGCAAGTAAAAACACCTTTGTCATCATTTCAGACCTTTGCTCAAGGAAACTATGTAGGCTATTGATTGCCTGTGAAGGAAACTCCAAGCTACTTTCATAAGAGGCTCTGAATAGAATTATTTGGCTTTATTTTGTAATGCTTTGGTCTATTCTAATCCTTTTGGAAGGGCAAGGGGAATAAAAATGGTACCCTTCCCCCACCTTTCAATAGAACAGGCTTTCTTAACTTTGGTCCATGAATCTGTGGATAGATTTCACAGAGATAGATTTTATAGATTTCAATTTAGAGGAGGGGGAAAAAAACATTTTCACTAAACTTTGATTTAAATTTAGCATCTCCTTCATTTATTGAAAGAACAACATCAACACACTGTTCTGAAAAGTCCATAGTCTTCACCAGATTGCCAAAGGAGTCTGTCCATGACTCAAGAAAGGTTAAGGACCCCTACATTAGAACCGCAGGTCCCTCAAAGGGTTGCAATGATGGGCCATGTGACTGAGCAAGTAAGTTCTCGTGTTTCATGTCAGGAACCAAATATTCCAAACTGGGTTGTCCCTACCCCACTACAAAGAACATGATGACTATTAGATCTCTCATAATATTTACATTGTATGGGGCGATGGTGATAATTTTCCTCTAACACTTAGAGGTAGAGGAGGCACAGATGACGAGCCGTCTATATGAAATTTAGGAGGGGAGAAGATAATTTTTTTTCTTCTTATAAATGATGTAAGTAGGTCAGAAGCAGCAGGAAGGCTATAGGAAAGACACAGGATTTATGTTCATTTTCACTCTGACTTTTTGTCGATTGAGATCATATCATGCCCTGGCTTTCTCTTGAGGCCAAGCCAATAGCCAGGCCATCTCACACTCTTCCAGTCAGCCAGATTATTGGCCCAAGCACATCATGTGTCTTGCTCTTGCTTTTTTTTTTTTAATGTTTTTCTGACAGGCCAATGAAACAGGGACATCAAAGGGGAAAATTACTTTTTTGCTTTCTTGCCTTTTTTGTGCATATGTTTAGGGTTTGGAGATGATAGGTCATGTGACAAATAAGGCCAAAGATGCTTCAGAAGAGTGAATGGTACCTACTTTAGTTCTATCTTTTGCAAGAACATGTATGTTCTTGCGTCTTTAGGGTTACTGTCAAAAAATTAAATTTTTAACTTGTAGAAATGATTTTGATAAGTTTATATACATGCATTAAATTAGAAATGTCCTCAAAAGCCTATATGTTTACTAGGCCTTTTACATACTTCTCTCTTTCTTGAAGAAAGAGTGTGTGTTTTATGGAGTGACATTCAGTCTACCACAATTCTCTATTAACTAAAATTTCAAAATCCCAGGAATTACTACCTGGAAAGTAGAGTTGACTCAAACCCTCAAATCTTGTCTGCGGCAATATTAGTAATACTTTAACCTGGCATTTACGGACATTCATCAAATGACCTTAATTTTGCTTAGCTAACCCCATTTCTCACTCTCTACCATGTGACTTTTACTACAACCAAGATAATTTCCATAAGCATACATACTAACACACTTCCCTCTCCTTTCCCCTAAATATACATACAATGCCAATTCTAGATAAAATTGTGAGTTAAACAATGTTTGTTTTGGCACCTCAGCCTTCTAGGCCTGTGTCCTTTCTTGTATTCAGTAGCATTTACCCCTCAGTAGTGCCATGTTATTTTGTTTTCACTCTAACCAAACCTGCTTTTGAAAAAACAAACAAACAAACAAAAACTTCATTCAAATTAAAATGTGAGTGTTTGCTACAACATATCTTGTGGGTTTCTTCCAAGAAAAATCACATTTCAGAGGAGGCAAAAATTTCTACCTAATGGAATGAAGTTCACATAATGAATTGGGCTTTACCCAGGAGCTGGATCATACTTTTAGGGAATAGACAAAATGGTCTTCCTGAGACTACTGAAATCCTATCCCATAGATAGCTGCCTATTACCTACATGTAAGGACAGGCTTCCTCGCTCTCATTCTGGAGCCTGTGCTCCTGATTAGTGAGACCTTCACCAGGTGCAACATTTGAGAAGCTCCATGCATGCTCACTTCAACTTTAGTTTGCCCATTTTTCTAGATTGCTCCACTTTATTTGCCTTAGTCTTGGGCAGGTAAATCTCTCCCTCCATCACTGCCCCCAACTTTTCAGCTTTCCATTATATGCTGTTGAATGTATATTTTTTGAGAGTAGGAACCATCTTGTTTTTTGTATGTATCACCAGCCCTCGGGATAGTGCTTAGGACTTAGTAAGCATTTACTAAATGTTTTATCTCTCATATTTATCTTTTGATCAATCATTTTCTAGAAGCTTTTCCTGACCAACACTACTGATCTTTTTTCCATTTTGGATTCCCTCAGGGTTTACCCTACTATTATGCATGCATAGGTCTTTTATTTCCTAGTGTCTTCAATCTAGATTAAGATTCTTCAGGGCATGGAATGATTGTCTTATGAACTGATACCTTGATTTCTTTCTTTTATAATCTGGCTACACGAATGTGCACTTGTTAGAGGAGTAAACTAATAAAAAAAAACTATTTCTGTTGTTGCCTTTCCTCATATTGAGAACTAATAAAATGTCCCTGTCATTATTCCCAGGCAGTTAGGTGGTACAGTGGATCAAGCACTGGGCCTTGGATTTAGGAAGACCTGAGTACGAAACAAACCTCAGAGACTTACTAGCCGTGTGAACTTAGTCACATTACTTAACTGTTTGCCTCAGTTGCCTCACCTGTAATATGAGCTGGAGAAGGAAATAGCAAACCCCTCCAGTATCTTTGCCAAGAAAATCCAAAATGGGACCCCATTGAAAAGTTAGACATGTCTGAAATGACTGAACAATAACAATCACTATTCCCATCTTCCTTATCATTAGATCAATTCCCTTCCCTGTCTTGATTCACTTAGCCCCTACCTAAGACAAATGGGCTTTTCAGCTATATAATTATATAGTTTCTTACTCTTTTCACTTCATAATAAATAATAATAAATAATAATAAGCTATTTGTATAGCACTTTTACCATTTCAAAAGAGTTTCTCATTGATTAGTTTTATCTTCACAGCACCCTGTAAGATATATATGCTACTTTTTAATATGCCAGTTCAAGTAAGAACATACAGGTGGACTAATTGACTTACTTAATATCAAATAACTTATATACAGAAAGGGAACCAACTGTTTTTTTAATAGACTATATTTTCTCACTAACTTAAGTCCTAAAAATGCAAGTTGCAGAAGCTTCTGAATTGTCTGAGTAATAGGTATGGCCTCACCCTGGCAACTGCAGAAAACATCATTTCTGTCTTGCCAGGACAGTGTGAAGAATCTACTCTTTTA